TTCATATGGCAAGATAAAGAAAACACTTGGAAATTCTTACTGAATAGATATGAATGGTGGGGGCTCTCAGGAAGTTTCATTTTATATAAACTCCATAGGAGGTTCTGATGAGCATCCAGGTTTGAGAACCAGTGATTAAAAGGATGTTTTTGTTTGTTTGTATTTTTGAGTAGGAGTCTCACTCTGTTACCCAGGCAGGAGTGCAGTAGCAAGCTCATGGCCACCGCAGCCTCAATCTGCTGGACTTGATCATCCTTCTGCCTCAGCCTTCCAAGTAGCTGGAGCCACAGGCATGCACCAGCTAATTTTTTTATATATTTTAGAGACTGGTCTTGCCAAGTTGCCCGGAGTGATCTCAAACCCCTGGGCTCAGGCAGTCCTCTTGTCTCCACCTCCCAAAGTGCTGGGATTACAGATGTGAGCCACTGCTCCTAGGTGGATACTTATTATTTAACTACTATACGTTGAACACCAGCCATTTGTGAGGTACTGTGAGTACAGCTGTCTTGATCCTACAGTCAGTAGAATTGCCTAATTCTTTATTTCTTTTCTTTGAGTCGGAGTCTCACTCTGTCACCTAGGCTGGAGTGCAGTAGCATGCTCACGGCCACAGCAGCCTTGGCTTTGACCTGCTGGGCTCAGTCGACCCTTCCCTCTCAGCCTTCAAAGTAACTGGAGCTATAGGCACACGCCACCAAACTCGGCTAATTTTTTGATTTATTGTAGATACGAAGTCGTGCCAATTTTCCGAGGCTGGTCTTGAACCCCTAGGCTCAGGTAGTCCTCTCATCACCACCTCCCAAAGTGCTAGGATTACAGGCGTGAGCATACAGTGCCTGGCTGACTAATTCTTATCTGGTTCAGTTGATAACTAGGGAGTTCCTTGCTGAGTTAGGCCATAAACAGTAAAGCTGCTGGAGACTATGTTGCTTTTTTATTTTTTTGAGTTGGAGTCTCACTCTTTGCCCAGGCTGGAGTGCAGTGGCACACTCATGGCCACTGTAGACTCAACCTGCTGGGCTCAGGCGATTCTTCCACCTCAGCCTTCTGAGTAGCTGGAAATTCAGGCATGGGCCACCATACCTGCTAATTTTTTCATTTATTGTAGAGACGAGATCTTGCCACGTTGCTCAGGCTGGTCTTGACTCCCTAGGGCTCAGGCCATCTTCTCGCCTCCGCCTCCCAAAGTGCTGGGATTACAGATGTGAGCCATCACGCCCGGCTATGCTGCATTTTGAATGTTAGAATATTGTTACAGACTCGGTGAAAGAGAATTATAAAATTCTTTCCCCTATGTGTGTATATATATATTTTTTGAACTGGAGTCTCACTCTGTCACCCAGGCTGGAGTGCAGTGGCACGCTCATGGCCACCGCAGCC